AAGTGAGGTTTTTTTCCCTTAATCAGTATGGGGAGGGGGGGAAAGCACCTTGCCTTACATTCACATACAAGAAAACCTCATGAAATACATTGTCTATCGTTAAACTGCTGCTAAAAGCAGCATGTGCTCAGCAATGGAAACCAACTATGAAGTTGATTAAATGCAGCCAACACTGAGCACAACTCCGAAGTACATAACCCAAATTCAGGCAAACATGCTGATGGCAAGAGTGTGCTTGTGGGAAGCCGTGACACCCTCACCTTGCTGCCAAAAATGCTTTGATCTTAGCCAAGGTGCTGCAGGGAGCCTACCACAAGGGTAAGTTAGTACAGCCTTCTGAATGAAATATATGGTACTGCCTACTGAGCACAGTCTCCTAAGCACTGACTCTTATTAAAGTCATGGCGAGCCACTACACTGCATACATTTTGACTTCCTCATCATTACTACAGCTGAGCTGCACCTTTCTTTCCCATTTCCAATGATTCCTGTTTCTTCATCAACCTTAAGTGTCTGGCAAACATCACCAAACAGATTCCCAAACATTTCATGTAGAACCCCTCTGTTACCCCATCTCTAAGCCTGTCACATATGATTAGTGTAACCCCACCCCCCATGAGGTGAAGCCGGACCAGGCTGCCTTACACCTCATCTGCATATAAATTTTTGGAGGATCCCAGGACTCATGACAAGAACACCTGGTTCTAGTCATTTGGGCAGGGGGGAGGGGAGTAATTAGCACATGGATCTTTTGCAGGGTATATCTGGAGTACACACACAATGAGCAGTGCTGATCTCTGGGTCATCATGGCTTGAAATGCTGTTGACTCTGCTGTGGCTCAGCCCAATGAACTATATAATAAATCATGAACCTTTTGGCTTAGCATTAATATCATGCACATTTTGTAGTATGTAAAAGTAGGTGCCAAAGTGCTACATAGAAAAGTATGTATGGAGTACCTGTGCTAAAAGTTGCAGCAGTTTCAAAAAAGGTATAATGCATCAATTATGGATGAATGAAATCTATATGCATTATATACAAATTAATATATTTATTTCAGGGTCAGTATTTTAAAATTTGCTCCTTACTTGTGTGCGCTAGGGAGAGCAGGGTCTGACAGTAAGGAAAGCAGGAAGGGGCTGCAGGCGAAGCAGGTATAAGGGCAGAGGGCAAAGAGGCTATCTGACCCCTCCTCCCCACGCAGATTTATTTTCCCTGCTGTAGCAGTGGGAGGGGGACAAATTCAAGACACACCTCCAATAATTAGATTTTATACCTGGAAAATTATATTGTTTATAAATTTTTGAATTTAGAATCTAATTATTGGAGATTATTTTATAACCAGCATCATCTTATATTCACTTAAATATGGTAAATACATTTTTTCCCCTCTCTCTAATCCATCCAGAACACGAGGCATGATAAATGCATATACAAGACACATCCCTAAAGATATTAATGGACAGGCTCTTCAGTGTCTTTCACAAGAATGGGATCCTGGCAGACATGCAAACTGAAGATACTACATGCTTTCCTAGAGCTCATCAGGATTGCAGGGTGAACTGTAAGGACTGACTTGGTTGAGCAATATGTTAAGTATCAAGCTAACTTGATTAATAAATGATGTTAACAAGACTGCTTACATAGCACGTATAAGTTGTATCAGTATATATAGCACATCCTTTTTTTTAGTGAAGCCTTCAATTCTTATTGCTGTTTCTTATATATGTATTGTACTGTAGGTTCTCTTTCCCTCTGTATGTGTAGCTTTCTATGGGCTGTAGGATTCTACAGCCTTTCCTCACACTATTTTCAATATACCAGTTGTATGGAATAACAGGGAAAACTGGATTTCACCGTTTAGAGAGACTTGGAAAACTATTTTATTTAAAACTAATTTCTATCATCCAGGCTGCTCTCCTACTGCAAAAGTTTTCCATGCATCGATGCAACAAACAGTGACAGATTACAACTTACTTCGGATCTGCTTTTTGATTTCCTTTGCAGGGTCCAACCAATTCTGTAAAAAAAAAAAAGTTTCTTTTTTGAATCTCACTCAAAAAATACAACAAACATTATTTTTAAACATTTAATATTGACAGCACCTGAAATTACTTTTTAAAAGCTGAGGAAATATCATTTTTACAGCTGTGTTAAAATGTGGCTTCACACTTTTTTTTTTGAGATATCAACTGTAACAGCCAACAGAGCAATTTGTGCAAGTGTACATGCACGCATGTACATGAGGTTTTTGCAATATTAAAGTATTTTAGAAGTTAAAAATCACAGTAACCTATGTATTATGTTCTTAAGACAGACTGAAAGCTGAAGCCTGCTTAGTAGCATAGAGGAAATAAAAGGAACCTTCCATAGTAGCACCTCAGTGCAGGAACTGGTCACTAACCTCCAGAGCACAGGCATTGTCCCCAACTGGTATAACTGCCAGTGCCAGTCCCTCCCCCCCAAAAACAGGTGTTGCCTTTGCAGTCCTCCCATGTATACAGACATGAGCTGAGCTTGTCATCTGTGAGGGAGAACAGTAGAATACACTGGTTTAAAAAAACTAAAAAACTCCACAAAAAACAAGGAACTGCCATTGCTCTATGTGATATTTGGCCAAGGAGGGTTGCTAGCTGATTCAACCAGATTCCTCTTGGGGCTCTCACTGCTGCCTGGCATCTCCAACAGACTCTAACGTTTCAGCAGCATAAACAGGAAAACTGGCCTGCTTTATAGCTGTTTCTTTTTCTCAAATATTGGGAGGCTATGCCCTAGCACTTCAATATTGTCTTTTAATACAATCAAATTAATATTTAAAATGTATCATGGAGTTCACATAAAAAAACAGCTCGTTATTTCCCCCAGGAAAAATTCCACTTTCTCCAAGAGAGGTAAACAAATGGAACAAAGGAGGGGAAAGAAAAAAGAGAAAAAGAAAAACAGCCAGCTTGCAGCTACCCAGAATCAATACTGAAAAAATATGAGCCCAGAAGAGCATAATCTATTTACCAAGTATAATAGTGCTGTTTGCACGAATACAATTAAGACTTCATTATGGTTTCTATTTTAAATCCCTATTTGCAGATATTTATAACATTTTATGTGAACACATATAAAGAACTTCAGCCTGGAAGACAACTTTATTTATTTATCTAAATAAATAAACAAATAAATAAAAGTTTGAGAGGAAGGGACATTTGTATTTTTACATATTACAGCTTTAAAATAATCTACCTGCATAACGATAAATAATAACCCAAAACTTAACATTACTATAAAGTAACATATTATTTTGATCTCAATTCAGGAAAGCGTACTTGTTTAGGAAGGCATTTAGGTATGTGCTTAAATTTTAACCTTGAAGTTAAATGTGCCTATGCATTTTCCTGAAGTGGGATACATCTAAGCAACTGCTCAACTCCTTTTATGCATCTGGCACCCAAATCTTTATTTTTGCACAGGGTGTCCTAAGAAAGTGAGAGCCACCGCCTGCTGATTAAAACAAACAAATAAGTGGAACAAAAAACAAAACACAGACTTGTTACAGAATTCTTTTGTAACAGTTCTTAACTATCAACATATATTAAAAGAAATCAAAATAACTTGTGAAATACCTAGATGATCCTTTGAAACGATCTCCTAATGTGTGTGCAATTGCATTAGATTATCATTTAAAAACTGAAAGTAATTCTATCTGTGTCACAACCTTAACCTTATATAAAGCATTTTTAGTGTTAATTTATTTATGCATATACCATCAGACTTTGACCTATGGAAGGAATGGAAGACAATAAAGCTAGAAATGAAACAGCTATGATTCACTTTTTTGGAATCGTAAATTACCAAAGCAAAAAAGAAGAGCTTCCGATTCATTTTACCAGAGGCACATTTTTTTTTTTTTCTAAGAAAGTTTACTTGAACTATGGACATATTCTTTGAGAGGAAAAATACGAATAATTTCTGGATTTCTAGAAATGACGACAGGAATAAAATAATTCTGAAAGCCACATAGTGTACACAAACTGGTTATTAGGTTGTCAGTTTTGTAGAGATTATTTCTATTTCATTTTAGTCAACGAAAAAACAATTAATTTGTCTTTCACCTTTTGGTTTTCTGCGTCTCTGTAAGTTAGGCCAAAGTAGTCTTTTTCCAAAAGGTTCAGATGTTCACACACTTTGTCAAACAGTACTTGACCTCTGGAGCGTTTCTACAGGAAACAAAAAAGAAAAATAAACCATCAGTTGCAATTTAAAAGTGTGCGCGCATGTGCATTCACACTTTCCCCTTCCCTTTTAATATAATTCTTAAGACTAAAACAATATTGATTTATTTTAACCTATTCAGCTTTTAAAATAATTGATTTGAGGCTGTATAAAATTCTGCTGAAATACGCTAATCTGCTTTTCATAAAAATTGATGTCTAAATGTGGATTTAAAAATAAATCAATCAATACATGTAATATGCACGGCTTTGATTAGCAGTTATTTTTCTGTCCCATAAAAGCTGGCATTTTATTTACATGTACTTGTAAAATGGTTTATTCAAAACCTTTTTCTAAATGCAACACAAACAAACACCAGATCAATAAGCTGAATTATTAAACATGTTAATCTTGAAGCAATCCCAAAGAGGCAAAAGCTTGGGTGTGGAGAGACCCCCTTCCTTACTGTTCTTCCTTTAAGGTCTACCTTTAGGAGATCAGACCCAGACCCCATTGGTTAATGAAAAGACATCCATTATTCCAGTGGGAGTTGGATCAAGTCAAAAAAGCAGAAATACAGAATTCTGCTGTAATATTTATCAGTTCTAACAACTTCCATGAGAAGACAGGTTTTTTTTTTGTTTTTTTAGGGCTGTTGATGGTAGACTTTCCCTATTCCTGAAGAAGGGTGTGCCCAAACGCTTACAAAGAACAATTTTCCCAACTGTTTAGTTGGTCTAATAAAAGTTATCACATCTACCTAAAGAACCTTGCTTTCATATTTTTAGAACAAGAACTTCTTATCGGGCAGGGTGGTTTAAGGGTTTTTTTTTTTTTTTGCATTAAGCCATAGGAATTCATGTTTTTGTCAGTGCTAAGTGTTACACGAAACGCTGCAAAGATTTATAAGCAGAAGACCTCTTATGATCCGCCTGCATGGCATTTCATTGTTGTTAATTATCGTAACTAAATTTCAAACTACGCAGGATTCAAACAGAATTCTGGCCATTTTTTTCATCAGGGACTACATTTCTCAGAGCCCGACCCGTCTGCCAAGTGCTCATATATGGAAAAAAAAATCACTTTTATAAAATATATATATATCATGTTTCAGTTTCAGCTAGATGCAAGTGGAACAGTTTCATTAGTAACAACCTTCAGCATCTATACAAGTATAACAGAAATACTCTGAAATTCTCCCTTGAAGCTGTGACAATGAAGCATGAAACAAAAAGAGAGAGCTTGTTTAGAACCTCTCTTCACTAAAGTAATGCACATGGGGGGGGGGGGAAGAGCACTACAGACATCATCGTCTCAGTTTGTTTTGTATGGCAACAAGTTGTGTTTGAGTTATACTGGGTAAAATAATTTACAGTCTGTCATTCCACAACAGCCTGCTGTTTCATTTACAGTTTCTAACAGTTTCAGATTTGTGGAAAAGCAAGCAAGCAAGCAAGCAGGCTATTGTATACGGCATTATCTTGAAGAGAAGATTTTGAGAACTTGGAAAGAATAGGCTGTACAATACCAATATAATGGTATGCTGAACTTAATAGGTTTAATTTCCTCTGATGTTATTGGGACACTTCAGAAAAGCAGAAAAACATCAGCATCCCCATTTTTATAGACGGTGAAAACAAAGCACATACAGTCACTTGTGCATAGTCATACAGGAGTTCTGCAGCTGAGCTCAAAACAAACTGCAGGAGTAAATTGCAGCATAAATTGATACAACTCCATTTTCTTTCGTGGAGCTCTGACATTTCAGGCTAACTGAGGAACCAGCTCCAGGGTTTTGTACTTGTCACCAGCTTTAAACCCTACATTACATGAAGCTTTTGCCTGGCAAAAGCCTCTGTTGCTGAACACTTTCAAACCAATATTAATTAGTTCTTTCAACCAAGAGATCTGTTGCCAAAATTTGGGATTTAATGGATAATAGAAACAGCTAGTTTTCTTAAAACTTCATGCAAATATTTAATTACATTCAACAAACAGAACCCACTACTGAAACACTGAGAAGAAAGGAAGCTTGAAGACTTTCAAACCCAACACCTGTCATATATCAGTTAGAACCAGTAAACAGAGATTTTCTTTTCCTAAATATTTGATTTACTTCTTAATAGTCTACATGACAAAATCAACAAGTGGAGAATTGATGAAATCCAAGTATTTAGCTTGAGAAAACCAAACTGAAATGTTACGTTCACATGCATCTGTATGTCGTGCAAGATCAAAATCAAAGCTGTTTTGGGTGGCCGATGAAGTTATATAGATGTCTGTTTTGAGAAATAATAGTAAGTAGCTGCAGGTTAAGGTATTTTGCTACAGGCATAGGTGGCCTATTGAAATGGCCTTCAATGTGGGGCTCCACAGCATAAAAAAAAGAAAAAAAAAAGATCAGAGGTACAGTAAAAGATTAAAGTAAAATGTCCAATCAGGTTTTTTAAGCTTGAGACATAATCCAAAACCCCTTCATTTTGTGGCACAGAGGGGATGAAGCCCTCCTAACCCACATATTTCAGAAATAAAATGTGAGTGAAAGAACACATTACACATCAAATGTGAAAGAGCAGTCTGAAAATTAACATGCTTCCACTTAACATTCCAAGGATAATGGGATTATTAAAAAGTCAATTATTCGTACTTGTTAACATCAGAATATAATAGCCGATGTTTTGCAAAGACAGGAAATAATGAAAGCATTTCCCTTCACTTGCACATTTGTGTTATGCATTTTGCTTGTTGAGATGAATGGATATAATAGAGACATTTAGGCTTTTGTTGCATACAAATTTTCACTTCAGACATCAAAATAAATAGTGCCTTTTTGTCTGCAAACATATATTAAGAAAGTATCTTATTTATCCAATTAAAACCCAAAAATCTGCAATTAAAATGAAACGTCACTATGCATGTATTCATGCATGCGTTTTATTGATATATTAACAATTTTAAAGCAATCTGGAAGCCTAGCAGTGCCTCAATCATTATAAGAAAAAAATTCAAACTACCTATAAATGTTAGTATTTGATTTTGGGTTTTTTACTATGGAAAATCTGTTCCCCCATCACCCTTTGCTCACCAGGACACAGCCCCCTGCCCCTTCCAAAGGGGACCCCCCAGCTGCTGGAGCTATGGAGCCAGGGATCCGGGTCTGCAGCCCCCTGCCCCCCACAGCAATGCCCAAGTCCCAGCTGCTGCAGCAGAGCTGGGTCTCCCTTCCCCCACGGGTGGCTCAATGTGAGCAGAGCCCATAGGAGGTTGGGGGGGGAGGGCAGGTGTGGGCTGCCCACTGCAGGCTTGGACTACTCGAGCTTCTCTGCCTGGTCCCGCTCTGGACTACCACACTGGGTCTCTCCCGCTGGGCCATGGAGGCCCAGGGGGAGGGCAGCAGGGCAGGGAGCCCCAAGCCTACAGCAGCCAACATGTATCTGCCCC